TGGCGAGAACACTTCCTGTTTGCAATATAATGGATCACATTCGTATGCAAATTATGGAAATGATAAATACTCGCCGCGAGATGACAACAAATGAAATAGCTATCTATGTCTTGAAGCGGAAAAATTCTCCAAAAAAATTACATGAAAGAAAGCACTCTTGAAGTCTCGCATTCTACAACTGAAATTTTTGATGTATCATCTCAAAAATCAGTACAAATTGATTTGGAACACAAAACATGCACGTGTCGTGCATGAGATATATTGCGAATACCATATAAACATGCGTGTGTTGTTATTAACTTTATGCATAGAGATGTGTACCGGTATTGCGATTGGTTCATGACGACTGAAGCTTTCAAAAAAAGTTACAAACCAATTCTCTTTTCTGTTCCAAATTACGATAAGTCAGATGTCACGGATGAAACAGTTGACATACTTCCCCAAAGACGATAAAGAGACGTGGAAGGAACAAGAATAGACGTATTAATAACCATCTGAGAATAGACATTCAATTGAATGTTTAAGGTGTCACACTGAAGGACATAACCGAGCTACATACACTGGACCTATTCAAGACTAACGTTTCCTGGCAGAATTCAAACTCTTTTGGGACTGTTGTTTGTTATATGTTACTTTTGTTATTTTGTTGTCACATTTATGTGTTAAATGTTGCATATTACTTGTTTGTGTGACTTATTGATATTAAATGTGATAGCTGTAAGCTTTATACTTTTAGATTCCATACAATATGCTAAAGAAAAGTTCATGGGTAATCATAAATGCACATTTCATCATTGTCACCACAAGTCTCAAAACTTACAAAAAAATAATAATCATATCTATCACAAAATTATGTTATACATATTTGTCTAATACTTACACTCAATCAATGATACATCATTACCCGCAAAATACAAAAGATATTCTTGATCATCTGCATCTAACCAATGTTCGGCCCTCATTCATGGAACAATTCCATCCATGAATTCACAATATCCACGTATATTACAATATATTATGATATCACGCTTACTGTAAAACACAACGCAAGAGAAACTAAATCTATTTAGGGTTCTATAGTGGATAAATTCACAATGCCAAACAAAATAAATGAACAAATGTGAATAATTCAATTGATACTTACAACTCAGCTTTTATTATTGCTGATTCAGATGACTCAGATGATGCAGATGATGAATTCACCATCCTATATTTTCAGCAAATTGAGGGTTTGGTGAAGAAGAGGGACTTGTCGGAGCGAGCGGACGACGGAGCCAAGACGAGCGGACGACGAGCTTGCGATCGGCGGGGTCCTTGTTGGAGCGAAGACGATGACGAGCTTCCTTCTTTTGGCCGTAGGAGGCGACGACGGAGCGAATACGACCAAGGAGCATCGACAAAGGCGGATCAAAGCTGTAGGGGTTCTCGTCGGTTGTCGGGGTTCTCGTCGACGGCGGTGTAGGAGCGAGATTTTGAGAGGAAGAGGGTGATGAGAAAATTAGTTGCAGAGGGTTTCGAAAATCGTGCTTAGAAGGGGGATTTTTGGAGCGTTTTTTATTTTAAATGGGAAGGATAATTTCAGAATAGCTTTATTGGGTAGTGGGCTTGTACAATGTTGGGGGGATAGTTACACTAAAGTTTCAGTATAAGGGTTGGAGAGCATGAGTTTTTTGACTGGGGAGAAGGATGGTCCAACTTTTTGGAGTTCGTCCAAGTAAATTTCCCTAATATCAATCAGTATGTACATCTTTTTAAAGTTTGTAAATTGGTTAAACTGAAGATGAGCATATGTTTATATATCAATTAGTATATACAAAATTTTGAAGTTTTTAACGGTTGATCTGAATGCCAGCAAAAAAAGAAAGAAAAAAAATAAAAAAGAGGAAGAAAAAACAAAATAAAAGAGGTTAATGTGAACATGTGCATTTGCTTATTCATCAATTAGTATGTACAACTGTTTGAGTTTGTAAATAGGTTGATCTGAACATATGCATACGTTACGTATCAATTAGTGTACACAATGTTTTAAGTACACGTGCTGGTGGTGTGGACCGTGCAGTGTTGTATTTGTACATTTGCACCTATATCTCTGTATACAAAGAAAATCCACAATAAGACATCTTCAAAGGTAACTCGATATTCATACGGGTGAAGTCTTAACAAATTCGGTTCAGTGATAGAAACAAATGGGTTGAACTTACTGGTGATATGGAAACAGTTATATTTGGATACTTTAATGCCCTACCTTCCTTGCATAAAAACAAACTATGACTATGTTCACCTTGCACAAGATTTCCTAGGAAATATTTCTTTGTTAAAAAAAATCTTAGTGAATTGATATCTCCTCTATCCTTATGTACTTAGATTGTTGTGATGGTTACTAATTGTATCTGTGAAGTTTTTATAAAGAAGGTCTACTAGATAGTTATTTACTACAATAAGGGTTCAGTTGATGTATACAGTGCATGTTTCACTTTTGTATGCATATTCTTAAACTTTGGAGTTAAACGGGGAACATTTGCACAGTGCATTGTGTAAATCATTTAATAAAACAAAACATCTTAATTGTTCAGGTGGAAGCTTTAAAACTTGAGTCTCTTCTGTTCATCGCCTTATGAAATATCTTTTGGGACAAGTAAGGAACACATAGTTGCATAAACCTGTAAGTAGAAAGACAACTCTGATGTACTTGCTTTTGATCCTTGGTAGATTGCAGCGAATTCTTTTTTTTTTTTTGTTACATAATGTGCTATCAGTCTATATATGAGTCATGTCAAGAATCTTATTCTCGGAAGTTAGGGTTTAGGACATGAATATGAGGACTCGAGACGTCACTTCACATAGTGAGATTGAAATTCAGTAGTATTTGAGATTAGGCTGATTATTGTCACTTGTTCTTTGTATGCACTTATTTTTCTGTCACTAAATTAGATTTTATTTGGCTGTGCAGATTGCTTCCAGCTGATCAAGGGAGAACCAACCTCTTCAAAAAGCCATCGATCTTCTTTACAACAGGAAGCGTGTAAAATCTACACTTCCAACATAACTGAGCCTGCTGCGATGATGGAGCCAGTGCATCAGAAACCCATGTTTCCTCTTTGCTTTGAAAATTTTGTCTAAAATATGATGTTCAATAAGAGGGGAAGATAGAGTTTTCTGCAAGCTGTTGAATAACCTAATGTTTTTATCTTGAACAGATAATGTTCGTACATAATGAAAAATTTTCTCTTGTGAATTTGATTCATGCTGCACAGCACAACCATTTGAATATGGGCATCCTTCTATACTCAGTGATATGAAGCTTTCTGCTTGCTACCTATTCTTAGGGCCTGTTTGTTTCGTTTCCCCCACATTCCAAAACCCACTTTCCTTCATTTTTTCACTTTCCCCCACTTTCCAAAACCCACTTTTCTTCACTTTCTCCACTTTCCTCCAATAATATTGTGACAACTCATCCCACCACATCTCATCTCATACTTTTAAAAATAAACAAAACACAAGAAATGAGTCACATCAATCAACTCATCTAACTCACTTTCCCCCACTTTTCTTTATTTTCTATCATCTTTAAAAATTACTCACATCATCCAATAATATGGTGACAACTCATCACATCTCATTAAAATTTCCTTCCATCACTTTCCTCCAAAAAAACAAGGATTGCGGAGGAAAACTCATCTCATCTCATCATCCAATAATATGGTGACAACTCATCTCATCTCATCTCATCTCATCTTTTTCCCCCAACTTTTAAGAATGAACCAAACACAAGAAAAAAAATCTAAACAAGGAAAGTGGAGGAAAACATCAAAAATTACTCACATCAACCAATAATATAGTGACAGCTCATACTTTCCCCCACTTTCTTTTATAGCTTTGACTAACCAAACCTCTGAAAGTGAAGGAAAACATCAAAAATTATTTTCTTTTCCCCCATTTTCCCCCACTTTCTGCATTTTTTGGCGAAACAAACAAGTTAAAATAGGAGAGGGGAAAGGAAATCTTTTTTATTTATTGAACAAACATGATTAATGCCCTTTAGACGATCACAGGGTTATGGAGAGATTTTAAATCAATCGTTATATGTCAAGGCTACTTATACTTGGTCAAGCTTAAAAATAAGAACATGATCATACTTGTCCGAAAACGCTATCCTTTTCTTTTCATTGGATGTATCATATTCTAGAGGAAGCCTGTACATGAGACTCTTTGATAAGAGGAAAATTGCCACTGCAATTGTATATAGTTTGTAATTGAACAAATTTTCACTGTAGACCCAAACCAAGTTTTAATTATCAAAATTGACCCATTATTTTTTAATTACCAAAATCGACCCATTTTATGCCACGTAAGCTTAATCTCATTTCCTAATTAGTCGGGGTTGCCAACCACGACTGTTTAGGAATTGTTAAACCCCAATTAGAAGCCTTAAACTTAATTTTTAATGCCCTAAACAGTTGGGATTGCCAACCCCGACTAATTAAGAAATGTGATTAAGCTTACGTGGCATAAAATGGGTCGATTTTGGTAATTAAAAAAAATGGGTCGATTTTGGTAATTAAAACTTGGTTTGGGTCTACAGTGAAAATTTGTTCGTTTGTAATTTGTAGTGAACTGTTAATACTGTCATTGCCTCTGTTTTTCCACTTATTATTTTTGCAAAACAGATTTAACTACAATATAAGTGTTACCAAATACAAGTGAGGGTATATAAGGGTTAAGTAGGGGAAAATATAGGGCATTTAAATGCATTTAAGCCTTCTCGCAACTGTGATTGCCCAAAGTGGTTGTTTTCTTTGCAAAAGTAACTTTCTGTCACATTATTTTTGACTAGGAACTTTTTCACGAGTTGTTAATTTTTCCAGTAAAAAAAAGAATGAGATTTAGTTTTATAACCATTCACTCACTCACCATTTTCTTGACTGAACCGAAAACTGAATGGCCGAAAATGACCGATGATTATTCGCAGTAGACCTCCAAAAATGGTACGGTTTAATGTTATCTTCTTACGTTGCAATATCTTAATTTTCTGAATTGGTTACTGAAGTTCTATTTGCAACATAATAAATTGCTTTTCAACTTATTAAACATAATCATTGGCATGAGTTGCTTGTTTTTGTTCCGTAATGAGGTTGTCATTTTGCTCAGTATGAAAGTTCTACAATAATGATGCTTTTCTTACTTAGTTTTCATGCACATGACCTGTTTGTTGAAATGCCCAACTCATTTATCCCTTTGAAATTTATGAGCTCTTGAGGTAATTAGAGTAAAACCCATATTGATTACGGTTTGTAATCACAAGATATGTTAACTTTTTTATGTACATATTAGTGATGCTTTAACTTATTGAATAGAGTTAATGATGCTTGATCGCCCACCAGCGTAGCTATATTCAACTAGGGCAAGGATTTATGTAGGCGTGGGCTCTGAACAATTAGCTTAACCAATGTCAGCAGCAATCTTATGAATTAGACTGGTACACGGATTAATCTATGGTTTAGAATCACAACATGTGTACATTTTTAGTACACAGTAGTGATGCTTTAGCTTTTTTATTAGAATTAGCGGCGCTTGGTCAAGGATTTACATAAGCAGCAGCCTCTGATATATTGGCTTAACCAATTGGCAGCACAAATCTTAAGCATTACTGCATTAGACTAAGTCCCAGATTAATCTATGGTTTAGAATCCCAATATGTGTATAATTTTAGTATATATTAGTGATGTTTTGAATTTTTTTATTAGAATTAATGGTGCTTGGTCAAGATTTATATAAACAGCCGCCTCTGAATAATTAGCACTTGACTTTGTTATCATTTTGTAAGAAGTCATAGGCATGACGATGGTCATGCTTATAGACGTGTGAAGTTCTGCGTTCACACTTCACACCATATGACTTCTTTTGTGTGAGCATATTCGAGTTTTGTAGTTCTAAAATAGACTTGTTAGGATGCCAATGTTGTTTTTCCTTTGGAAGAACTTTGGAATGTCGTTGTCATGTTAACGTTTCATTAGTCATAAAATATTCTCACAGGCATATTTTCGATAGATTAAAGAAGTTGCGCCACAGTTGCGATGATTGCAAGTGGCAGAAGCAAAAACTTGTTGGAATTTTCGTGCAATACAAATTCAAATTTAGAAAGAATCAATTGTTTTGAGAGAGTACAACTAGTACAGATCCTTAATCTCTGAGATAGCGATGGGCCAGGAGAGGAGAGGAGAACAGAGAAGTAGGGAACTTTTTATCTTGTTCTTTAGTTTTGTGAACCTTGCTATGTGGGACTATAAACTCATTTAGAGATGTACATAATAGGCAGAATCAGACAGACACATAATCCATATGTTTGAAGAAAATTTTGTAGTGGTCATATACATTCTCATTTCTCATATCTCAAGAACCAAAGTGCACAGAGAAGCAGAGCCTATAGTTCTGACTTTGTACGGGTCTTATAAAGCTACAAACATCTTGTCAGTAGCACAAAATATCTCACAGAACTTTATTCACTCCATTTTTTTCCAACAAGCATTCTAAATCCCCTCATACAACAATTCTATCTAATATTTTTCTGGTTTCCTTAGAACTTTATGAACCATATAGTGTATACATTAACAGAAAGGAAGTAATGTTTTAGAGGTAAGAATTAGGTACACTTATCCTAACTTGATATAATTTTCTTACATGGACCTGAGTGCTGCTGAAATCAAACAATAAACACATTTTAGGAACTAGAAAAAAAAAAAACCAATCACCAGGCTAATGAGAGGCCACTGCCATGGCCTGCCTATCAAATCCACTCCTCAAACCTTTACCTCCTCCACCTCCGCTTCCGAAACTCAGTCTACTGCCCTTCTTCTTCACTTCCTTCTCACGGATTCCTCGACTCCCATTCTTACCGCCGATCATTATTTGTTGTTTTTCAGGAGAAATTGGTGCTATATTGTTGTCCTTTGCAGCCCCATTTTGAGCTAAAATCCTTGCGATTCCTGCGTACCCAAGGGAGTACGCAATCTTCATCGCAGTTGCACCTTTCGCTGTCTTCGCCTCAAGATCGGCTCCTCTCTTTACAAGCACTTCAACTGCGTCTACATGCCCTGCCTCAACTGCACAGTGCAGAGCTGTATACCCCTCTTCATCCCTTGCATCCACTTCTGCACCTTTCTCCAATAAAGCCTTCATTACCTCCGCCCTCCCTTTAAACCCTGCTCTCATTAGCGCAGTCCATCCATTCTGATCTCTTCCGTTTACTGCTGCTCCCCTTTCGATCATCCTCCCGGCTGCTTTTACTTCTCCTTTCCTCGCTGCTAAAGCCAATCCATCGCCGAGCTTTAGCATATCAAACAGTCTTCCGTGTCCTCCCTCAGCCGCTGCGTCATATGATGTTTTTCCTGCAAAGTTTCTGACCTCTTTTAGTCCCGCACTTCCTTTGGTTATCAGAAGCTTTACCATTTGTTCATCTCCGGTAGAGGCGGCTATGTGCAGAGGCGTGTCTCCATCAGGCCCACCGCGGATGTCTGCACGGGCACCGCCAGCAAGAAGAAGGCGTGCACAATCACGCCGGTGCTCTTCTACTGCCAGATGAAGTGCCGTTCGTCCGTCTGAGGTTGGAGAATTTACATCAGCACCCTTAAGAGTTAAAAGACGCATCGCCTCCAAATGGCCGCTAGCAGTGGCAAAGTGAAGTGCACTCCAAGAAGATGCTGATGTTTTCTCAGTTGATGCACCGTGAGCTAACAATAGCTCAACAATTAGTGATTCTCCTGCCGCCGCTGCTGCTTCAAGTGGTGTCCGGCTGGCTCGGTTTCGAGATTCCACGTTAGGGTTGAATTCAAGAAGTAGCTGTACGAGATCTGCTCTACAATGAGAAATGGCTATATGGAGTAGGGACTGACCCATATAGTCAATAGAATCAACAGCATTCCATTCTGGATTGCTAAGTTCTAGGACCTCCCTGACCTGATCCATGGAACCTTCGGCTACTAGTCGAGTTAAAACAGCTGATCCAACAAAGAAGATTCTCATGCCGCTATCTGTAAATACTTGTTTCTTCCTTGTAGTGAACCAGTCATTAGGAACTGAGTCAAAGGTGGAACTCGGATCCTTGAAGGCAGCACCGGGGACCACTACGCTGTCAAGGAGGAAAGAGTCGGTCGACTTGGGGATTGATTCGGGGAGGGACGAGTTTAGGGGGAGGACGTAGGTGATTACTACGGTTAGAGTGGCAAGAGGCGCTATAATCCCAGATTGAGGACGGATAGTGTATTGAACTTTGTTCATGGCTTGAAGACGGAAAGCTACTGGCATTGTGTACATGACGTTTCGGAGGGTAACCTGGCCGTAGCATCGCTCACCAGGTTCGATGCGGATGGCTACCTCGTTCGATGGCTCTAGACTTATTAGTCTATCCATTTGTTTAGAAGCAGGAAAAGCTGGTTTTTTTTCAGTTGTGAATTTGAAAGACTGGTGGATTTAAGATGGGTTTTGTAGAGGAGAGCGAAACCCATCAAATTGGGGAGGAAAGAATAGAGGAGTATGAAGTCTTTTAAGGAGAAGGAGAGTTGCCGGTTTCTTGTGGGAGAGGAGCCAATTGCTGGTGGGAAAAACAAGGGC